AGACTGACCCATAAGTATGTTCGATTCTCAACCGCAGCCAGCTCTTGTTCCAGCAGATTGCATTCATCATCGTCTAATGATCTCTGTTTACCAATGTCGCGCACTCTTTTGCTGATAACAAGGCCTATTTCACGGGAAACTTGCTGGACTTCTTCCTCGCCATTACCACTTAGGTGAATTATCGGTAGTTCGGTTTTCAGCTCCCGAAATCGATGCTCTATGTGAGGATACGGTCTGCTTGTCATCAAGAATTTCAACTTCCGGTCCATGTAGAGTCCTTGGTAGAACATGTTGACAGCTTCGATAAGTTCATCCCGATCTCGGCACTCATCCAATGCATCCAGAATGCAAATAATTTCTCCCGCCGTTGCCTGAGCAGAAACAGACATGAGTATATCCCATAATGTGTGGAACGACTGGAGAAAACTTTCTCCATGATTATGCACTCTATTTACGTCTTCATCTGATAGAAGCTGGGGCTGTGCAAGAAAGATTTGGTGTAAGATAGCTGACAGTGCATTAACTGCACTTCTTTGATCCGGGAAGTCATCTTTAAAGAAGAAATAGCACACGGTCTGCTGCTCATTGCCAACAAGGACCTCATCCACCAGGTACCTTGTCAAAACCGACTTGCCACAACCTGGATCAGCTGAGACCCATAGTAGACCGGCGGCATCATGACTTGAACACTGTTGCCAATTGGTGAATTTCGGATGCGTTGTGAACCATTCACAGGTTCCCGGGACTCGTCTATCATTTCTGTTTTTCCGGTCCTCGTAAGGACAGGTGTTTAGCAGATCTAAAAACTTTTCTACTCTCTCGTCTCGAGAGGTTGAACACTGCGCTAATAGAATGCAGTGTCAGCTATGCTTAGCTTATTAGGGAGAATTAAACAGTAAGCATGATTTTCAGGCTTAGAGAATGTTAGTCTTACCAAAGGTATATTGAATGCTACCATCATTGGTCCCAGCCTGGGAGCCAGAGTTTGGACCCTCGACTTCAACCAATCTCATTGTGGAAGCAGACGATAATAGTAATGGTATGAAAAGACCATTATAAGACAAAGAGCGCTAAGTGGATGACAAGTCAGTCACAATCCAGCCCCCACTGTCAGGTGACGGAGACCCGCAGCTGTGCTTTAGTGACTACTTGATTCAGTCTAGCTGGCTAGATGTTCTCCCATCATGGTATCCGTGAAAGTTGCAAACAAGAGATGGGTGGTTGGTAGTGTAAGTTGTGATCGTAGTCAGAGACCAAATAGGCGGTGGCGGAGGATCAGGTGATGCCTGGCTAGAGTGAACGTCTCAACAGGCAATTCTATTGTAAGACCGAGGCAACAAACCGGGCACAGATAACTACTTTATCTACAGTAGATGTTGGAGTCAAATTTAATGTACGTACTTGTTATTTCATTTCATGCACCTGTACTTAACTTAATTGCAAGGGGCTTAAACGAAAAGTATAAACGAGGTAACAAAACACAAACGATTTGCAAAAGACACATACAACTGATGCAAGGGCTTAACATAACATGACTAACTGAATTGGGGTTATTGGGTTACTCGATCATCATGATGGAAATGGAACCGACAACACGCGCACAAGCTATTTGACAAACAAGACAATTAACTGATCGGCAGATAAGAGGAGAGAGGCTCGCCAGAAGAACATCCACAAAGATGATAATGTTGATTGATGATGGTGGTAAAGCCAGGAATTAAACTGTAAACCATGGAAGTAACAAAATTGGATGGACGGCATCAGTGCGTTTTCGTGATATCTAGAGGGTAAAAAAAGCAGCTAGACAGGCAAGTATGATTCAGCTAAGAATCACATCTGCTGGGGCATCATGAAGGCCCGCTTGCGCGGGTCGTCGTCCACAGGCGCACCGCGCTTCTGCGGCGGATTCAGAGTCATTGGCTCAGGATGTTGCGGTTGTGCGTGGGGATGGAGATGGGGATGTAGCTGAAATTGGGCGTGAGGATGGGGGTGAGCCTGAGGATGATGAGGGTGAGGATGACCCTGCGCTTGGGCGTGCAGCTGATGAGGCTGCAGTTGGTGATGCATTGCTGCATGTGGTTGGGCCGGGATTGGCATTTGACGGGGCTGTGGCTGTGGCTGCTGTTGCGCTTGTGTCTGTGGTTGAGGATGCATTTGACGGGGTTGCGCTTGAGCCTGGGGCTGGGGTTGAGCCTGCACTGACCGGGCCTGAGGCTGTGGCTGAGCCTGAGCTTGTATTTGACGTGGTTGAGGCTGAACCGGTGTGTGAGCTTGATTCTGAGCCTGCATTTGTCTAGGCTGCTGTGCTTGTGCCTGTGCCTGCTGCGCAGCTTGCCCGGAGCGGGACTGCGACTGCGGTTGCGCCTGCTGTTGCTGGTTGGCCTGGGTATTGGTGTGAGGTTGAGGTTGCGCTTGGAACTGATGTTGGAGTGCCTGAAATTGGGCCTGGCTGGACGTATGCATCTGATTTGTGTGAGACTGCGTCTTGGACTGGCCTGCCATTTGACCGTGCATCTGTTGAGGCTGCTGCGGAGTGACTTGGAATTGATGGAATGACTGGTATGGTTGCGAAGGCTGTGCCGGTTGCGGCTTGGACTGGGGCTGATTTTGCGCCTGTGATTGTACCGAAGACTGGGGTTGAACCTGCGAGTGCTGTGGCTGCTGTAGCGCCTGGCTCTGGGCTCCAGCTTGATTTTGATCAGCCTGAGGCTGTCCACCTGCAGCGGCGGCGGCCGCCGCCGCTTCAGCAGCCTTTCGTGCTTCAACATCAGCCTTGCGTGGCCGTCCACGGGGCCGACCAGTGCCCGGCTTGGACGAAGGCTTCTTTGGCGGTCTAGGCTTGGGAGGCACGTTGCCTTGTTCTGACTTGCGAGGCCGCCCGCGACGACGCTTTTGGGGAATAGGATTCCCGTCCGGACCGATAATCGGTTGCGGTGGTGGTGCGGGCGCAGGAGCGGGAGCTGCAACTGCAGGTGTACCATCAGCATTAGTTGTGGGGGCTGGAACCACCATCGTTGTGCCATCGGGTGCTGTTGTTGTCACCGTCTGGGCCTTCTTTGGCTTTTTCGGCCTGGGTTTCTTTTCTTCGCCTGGCACAACGGGCTTCCTTGGACGACCTCTCTTTTTCGGCGTTGGCGTGGCAGTATTTGTTGGAGCAGCGCCAGCTGTAGGAGCAGCCCCTGCGGTGGCAGGTCCCTGGACTGCACTAGATGTACCAGCAGGAGTGAAAGTGGGGCCGGAACCAACACCAGATACTGGAGCGGGAGCGGGAGTCGGGCCCGCAGCAGAGACCGGAGTAGGAGCCGGATATCCAGCTTGAGCTTGCCCATTGACCTGTGTAGCCTGTGTAGCGGGCGTAGCCGGGGACGCAGAAGGCTTAGACTGCTTCTTGCGTTGCTTGGTTCCAGTACTCTCAGGCTTCTCCTGTGCTGGAGCAAGGAGCTCAGGTCCAGACATGCTAGCGGACGCAGAAGCATGTGGTTGATACTGCTGCTGAAGTTGTGCCTTTGCCTGTGCAGGCGATGGTTGCTGCTGTTGTACTTGATGTTGTTGCAACAGAGAAGGATGCTGCTGTGCTTGGGACTGGTGCAAGGCATGATGGTGCTGTTGCTGGGGATGTTGCTGCAGAATGGGGTGCTGTTGTTGCTGCGACTGCGGCTGCGGCTGTTGAGCTTGTACCTGTGTTTGCGCTTGTGGCTGTTGATATTGGCGCTGATATGCATGATGGAACTGAAGCTGCTGTGGTTGAGGCTGGTATGGCGACCGTTGAGCCTGCTGCTGCTGGAACCTTGACTGTTGTTGCTGGTATGTTTGCTGGGCTTGCTGCTGCTGGGCCTGAGTATGAGCGGGTTGTTGGGTCTGCTGTGCTGCTTGCTGCTGAGCCTGCTGTTGCGCCTGTTGCTGAGCCTGCTGTTGAGCTTGTTGCTGCGCCTGTTGTTGAGCCTGCTGCTGGGCCTTTTGCTGTGCTTGCTGTTGAGCTTGCTGCTGAGCCTGTTGTTGCGCCTGTTGCTGAGCCTGCTGCTGGGCTTGCTGAGCTTTCTGCTGGGCCTGTTGCTGGGCTTGTTGTTGAGCCTGCTGTGCTTTCTGCTGAGCTTGTTGCTGGGCCTGCTGCTGAGCTTGCTGGGCCTGCTGCTGCTGATACGTCTGATGGGCATGTTGCTGGTAAGGAGACTGCTGAGCCTGAGCCTGATAGGGAGAAGCCTGATGCTGGGCCTGCGGATATTGGGCCTGCGGATACTGGGCCTGCTGCGCTTGATACGGCGATGCTTGAGCTTGCTGGTAAGGGGATTGCTGCTGCGTATGCTGGTACGGCGACGCTTGTTGTGTCTGTTGATACGCGGACTGAGGGAAGGCATGCTGAGGCTGGGCGGTGGTCAGCATCGGCGACGCCGCAGCAGAGGTTTGCGTCGTGGGATGCGTGTGCGGCGTCTGTCGATGCTGAAGATGTTGCTGTTGCAGTCGGTCAAAAGACTGCTGGGGAGAAGCAAGACCCATCGCATGCGCATGCGGGGACATGGCAGCCTGCGCATTCATCGTGGGATGAGTACGGAAATTGGCCATGGGGTTCATATTCCGCTGCAGGCTCTGCAAGGATAGATAGGGATCCTTCAGCTGGCCAACGGAGTCGGCATTGCGAGACAGCAGATCGGATGAGCCCTGTGGCGGGTAATGTCCGGAGAACGGACTATAATGGCCGCCCGTGGGGAGGCCGACTACAGGGCCCGTGGAGGATGGGGTCATTTTGCGGAGATCTGGGGACTGCGCCGCCAATTCCACCTGCGATTGACCCCGAAACAGGGCGCCATTACTGGCCATACCGGGAGCATGATGGGGATGAGCAGCAGCCGCGGCAGTCATGGACGGGGACTGCAGATGGTGCTGCTGTTGGTGCTGCGGATGAGCATTTTGCTGGGGCGGGCGTTGTTGATGAAACGAATGCCCATTATAGCCCATCATCTTGACGGGACGAGGATGAAAGTGAAAAGAAAATCACTCAATGGCTGACGTGGTGGGTATTTTCAATGGCCTTTATTTATTTTTTATTATTTTTTTGCCTCGTTTTTCCTGATGAAGATGGATTGATTGTCAGGGACACTCAGATAGCGGGCATGTGACCACCACCGCGTCTGCACCAAACGAACGACACGCTTCCTTTTGGGGGGTGAGAAAGAGAGAAAGAGCGAGGCAGGGAACACCAATTCCAGTGCAAAGAGCAGCAGCAGTCAGAAAAAGACGCGCACTGAGGCGCGTATTTCTGAAACTGAAGAAGAGCCGTGCGACCGGCTGCTTTGCTACTGCTGCTGCTGCTTTGCTTTGCTGCTGTGATTTTGCGGCGGTGGATAACACGAAATAATAATAATAATAAAATGAGTCGGATTCCCACCCCAAAGCGGAATCAGAAAAAAAGCGTGACTGACAAGACGGGACAAAAATGCGGGATTCGGTGCCTAGTTTGTGCGGCCTGAGGTATCAACACACACCACACTTACTGACTTTGCTGACTGAGGGAGTAATACGGCGGACCCACAGCAACCAAAAGCGCAATTGTTGGGAGAGGCGAAATTCCCAGGGGGACAGCTCGAGGGGGCGCCCGACAGGCAATGCAAGGTTGACCAGGAAAACAGGAGCAAAGAAGACCGTGAATGCCGGGCAAAGAGACCTCAAACCACTCAGGAAGCGATGCCTGGATGGATCCTGAAGTCGTGAGATGGTCGCGCGCGATGATTTGTTTGGGATCTTGATGGACTCCGTTCCTTTTTTCGTTATTATTATTTTTTATTTTTTATTTTCGATTTTTTTAATTTTTTTGCTTTGGGCTTTTTGGATTTTCGAATTTTGGATTTTATTTTCTGCCCCCCGGGAGCGCACACGTGACTTCTCGGCCAGCTGGCCACTCACAGTGCGCAAGCAGGCTGGTCGGGCGGGGTTCATTATTATTTGTGTGGAAGGCACCCATCGGGCACTCATGGCGACTGCTTAGTGATGCAGCAGAAAACAGCTTTCCAGTCAGCAACTAACTGACTCGATAGATAGAGGGAATGGAGAAAGACTCTCAAGAATCCTATTTTCGAAAAAGAAGATTGTATTCGGGTGGACAAACAGAGCACAGGGTACCTGACATTTCTGCACTAAAGGGTAGTCAAGTCCTACGTAACTAAACCAAAGTAACTTAATGAGGGGGTGTGGGTGGAAGACTAAAAAGAAAATTAAAAAATTCATAATTAAAAAATAAAATAAAAATTCACCCATAATAATAAAAAACCATGCTATTCAGGGCCGAATAAAGTAAGTAAAAATAAAAAATTAAGATAACCCAAAATTCCTCGCCCCTCCACCACCCCCTTCCCACCACAAAATAAAAATTCAAAATGGAAAATAATCACACAAAATGAAATTGAAAATAAAAAAACCCCATCATCGACAGCTAAAATCCGCATTCCACCTATGATAATTTGCCCTCGATGTTTAAGCTTACTTTTAGTCAAAGATTCCGGATAGATCTGGGTTGCTGTTGCATTTGTGATGCTTCCTCTGTGACGTTTCACACTCTCTCGAGTGTCTCCAGACAGTTCCTCTCCAGAGTGCTCTGATTTACTAGCTTAATCCAAAGAGCAGTGTACTTTAACGTCCAATTCTGCCAATACATTCATTATCCCAGTTTTTGTTTCCCTTCCTGGAACAACCTATTACGGTACCATTATAGTTTCCCCGTGTTCAGAAGATGTGCAAGTCTGAAACAATTAAAATTACATCCATTCTAGAACTTTTCCCCTTCGAGCCCCAAGTAACTAAACCCTTTCTTCAACTCAAGCTGCCTTTGTACCATCTTTATTCTCGTCTTCCCGTGCCTTCAAATCCCCCAAACACGGTGCAAAGAATAACCGGCCTGACACCACTCCCCGCAGCGTCCCAATACTGACCACAATCCATAAGACCACCACGCAAAGCGAAAGAATCTGTCATATATCAACATCGCGAAAGGTGAGGAAAGCTAAGAACGTCAGACTTACCGTTCCTAACACCCGGAAGAACTCCGACGGCAGCTCCTTGCCCATCTGGCACGTGCTCGTGGCGTACACTCCCAAGGGGAAAGTGAAACCCCACCATCCAATATTGAACGGGAAGCTCTTACTCCTCGCAATAGATGCCAAAGCGAAGAATAGCCAGACCAATCCAAAGGACCAGAGAATCAGAGCCACCATGAACCCCATGGTATAGAAGATCGGACCGGATGCTGCTTCGAGGGTCTGTGTCTTCGGGAAGATTTCCTGCGCCGCTTGGCCCAATTTCATTATACTAGTAATATACTACTCAGTATACGATGGTCATATAGGGATAGGATGTATAGACTCACCCGAAGCCGCCCTGACCAAGAGGTCCCAGGGGAAGGAACACGCTCACGATCACCGCTTTAGGAGGTAATTTGTGCAGGGTCAGTCGCTGTAGGTAAATCACCATCACCATCAGTGCCAGGGGTAATCCGATGCCCCAGAGGACGTAGCTCACGAGCACGGTCCAGAGAGCGTGCTGTGGATTGGGGAGCACGTCAGCTACGATGGCCCCTGATGAAGCTGCGACAATGCAGCTGACGATGGGGAGGAGCCAGACGGCTGTCATGGATGAGAGTTGCATTTCGGTTCCGTGAGCCATTCTGCAGTCATGTCAGTCGAGCTTATTATAGCTTCATAGTCTCTGCGCAGGGCCAGGCGCACAGTAAAAAGGGTAGGGAAAGAGCAGTGATGACCGAAAAGATCGCATCAAAGATCCATAAGCCCCAGGCAAAGTTCCGCGTCCAGTCACCCCAGGCTGGAACACAGACGAAACAGAACATATTGATGATAGTCGCGAATCCCATAGGGAACGTTCCTATGAACATGGACTGGACTGGATGCTTGATCATGGCGAAGAATATCTCCGGATATAAGGTATAGCGAAGGAAGGTGATGATACACCCTATGGTTAAAAGAAGGACATTGAAGGCAAATAAGACAACTGAAATCCAGTATAGCCACTGGCCATTGTAAGGGAGGGTGTTGAGTAGAATAGACACGATGCCCGTGCCCATAGTAACCGAAAACCAACTGTCCAGACATGTATGTTAGATTCAATTGCACTTAGAATGAGATCAAGGGTTGCATACGACGGCGTGAAATGACGAACTACTCTTCGCCAACCCGTATCATGCTTGGTGAGTTCGCACGGGTTATTGGTATTTTGTCCGGTCATCATGTTGTTGGCCCGAGTCTTGGATATTGCCTTGAGCTCCTCAGGCTACGGCTGGGTTGGACTACACAGCTGCTGTGATCTGTATTGGCAGTGTTGAATTTGCTATTTGTAGATTCAAAGGTTACAGAAAAAATTTCTTTCTCTTATTATACTAGATTTATCCTTTGATGTCTGGATGCCAATTTGCATGGTAATCGGCGACTTGTGTGAGTCAGTCGGCGACTGAATGCTTCCCGCCCGACCCGAAGAACAGTCAGTCATCTCGGCCGAATGCAATGAACATAATTCATCATAGGAATTAGAAATCTGCAGCTTCATATTTCTAGTCTTTGTAAGGGTTATATATGAGTGACAAAATAATAGGGTACTGGTAATTTACTAATGGTGGTGGGATGGAGTGCCAACATGTTGCTCGGTATGGAACTGTCTTGGCTTCAGGATGAACAGAGAGAATTTACGCGGACAAGTGTATCCTAGCCGCTTGTTACATTATCTTTTGAGAACTAATTCTGGTAAGAGTATGAGCTCCATATACGATAGATCTTTCGCGTGTGTTCCTGTTCGGTTGCACGAGACGTCGTCTTTGTCTCATGCAGGGCTTATATTCTCAGAGGTACCATGATCATGAGCAAAGTAATCCATGAAGTGTTTGAGATTCAGTTCTCATGGTTCTCCAGGCATGCAGGGCTTCTAGATCAAGGAATATTCTAGAAATGCTTTGGGTCGCCTGTAGCATGGGCTTAGTATCTCGAGGGAACTAGACGAGGTGTATCGAGGGGAACCATCTATATCCTCAGAAGACGTAACTTACTGTCAGCATCGTGCAGGCATTCCCGGTCTCTGGGTGGAATGAATTCAGTTGTTGTGAATATCGATTCTAGAGAGCCCACAGCATCAATGATTGAACTATTGAGGGAGCATGTGGGCTTCCGAACAATACGTCCAGACGCTCACTGCAGTACCCTGTTTATCCACATCATTTGATAGTATCAGTGAACCAGGACTTATATGTCCTCGAGTAGTGGTGGTCTTGTCTTCGAATATTGGAGGGTAGGGTGTAGTAGCCACAGTAATCATTGCCGCAGTCTAGTGGTAGGGTGGACTCGGTCCTGTGCTTTTGGAGGGATTTGTAAGCAGAGAGGGAATATTGTGCAAATATGGATACGTACCATTGCTGTTGTATTTCATTGCATGGTTTTCAGCTGGAAGTCTTCATATAGCCAGCCAATTCTCGCTGAGTTAACAATGAACCGGTCACTGACAGTGAAGCGCCATGGAAGCATTGTCTACTAAACACAGTACGAGTGCTGTCTGATATGCCAGTATCAACCCCTATATTCTGAGCGTAATCACTGATACATAGCAAGATGGCAGGAGAGGTGAGAGAAAGCCCCATTATCAGCATCGGGGAGAATCACACCGAGAGAGAGCAGCTGACAAGCTCGGCGCTAACGACAGTACCACCCCCGCAACGGCATGAAGCCAATCACCGTGCCGGGAAAAGCAGACGATCTTTACTCTGGGGTTACTCGGACTTAATCTATTCTTTTATCTGCCTTGAACACATGATATGGATTTAGACAACTACTAGTTTGGACAGGGCCATCGACTAATTGGGTAGTTGGTTCGTCGATCGGTCTAACAGCAACATAACCTTCCGTTTCATTACGTTTAACTCGGACGAAGATATGTTCATGACTTACTTGTTCGTATTGAACAAGATACTAAGGAACGCTCTTAGTATATAAAAGTGATGAGGGAATGACTCACTTGTTCCTCCCCGAGTGTGATGGTTACGTAGGGGAGGAACAACAGCAGAGGGCAATATAGTCTAGTCTTGTGACTCCTTGGAAGAATGGGAAGTACCAGAAATACTGTATATCAGATGCGACGTTAACTGTGTATATATACCAACTAATATGGGTAGGGCGTGTTGACTGACTACCCAAACACCCTTTGACTAACTAGTACTCGTGGCGAAACGTTTCCACGTCTCGCTGATTTACGATCTGCTCCTCCGAGAACCAATTCCCGTGCATCCCATATGGTACACGTTGCGGCAGGACTACTCGGCAGACCACCTCTCTCATACCAACAGCATCGATGACCCAAAGCTCACTGCGTGCGTTCGGTGGGGCTTCACCATTCTCATCCAGTTGCGACTCATCAAACACATATGTAACAAGCCAGCCATCATCTTCATGCTTTCCATCTTTCCGCGGTACAAAGGAACACTCCTGGGCAAACCACCCAGGGGGAAAGGCAAACACCTTGATAGGGTCGTCGGGGTTGTCCGAAGCGAGAACCTCATCAATGGAGCGCTCATCCACGCAGCCATCCACTGGAGACAGACGCTCGGTCTTACCCTGTGAGAGAAGATGTTCCACGTCCACTTTGACAAGACAGTCAATCTTGAAGGCGCTGATATGAGTAGCAGCGAAATTACCCTTCCGCATAGAGCATCCGTAGACATATCTTGTTGGGTCCATCTCAAGGTGCTTGGGCACACATGGAAATTCGAAAGGAATGGCTGATAGCGCCCACTGCTGGGAGATTGACGTTGTGCCTTCATTACTAGGTGGGAATTCGTAGTAATAAAGACGGCATTGGGGATCGGGCTGCTTCAGAGCGTCTGGGGCAGCTATGTTACCCATATGGAAGAATGGTGCAACACTGTTCATGCGACAAAGCAGCATATTCACCCATGTTCCACCGGGTGTAATATCATCCCAAGTGTTGACGGTATGCATTACCACACAGGGGTCTGTCGTAAACCATCGTATGAGCTCGGGGACATGTCGAGGGAATACCCCAAGCCTCGTTTGGCCCCGTGGGTTGTATTCAACAACCGGCTTTCCATGTACGATATTAGACAGATCGAGCTCGAGAGGCAGGTCGATAATAATGGTATGTCGGTGGGATACTCCAAAGTCATGCATCATCTTCCCTGAGACAAGACCAGGCACGGGCCGATTGAGACGAAACTCCGGTGTCACGGTGGTTCTAGCAGGTATAATGGAGTAGTTCACGAACGGCGGGATGAATGTCGAGTGGAAGAGAAGCAGTTCCCCAGTCTGGGGATCAACACGGGGCTGAGCATTGTGACAGATTAGCACTGGGACGTCGCAGTATAACAATGGCAATTAAGTATCTCGCCCTTCGGAAAACTCACATGAGCTGTTGTCATTTCCTTCATAGCTCCTTCCATCCCTGGGCTGCCGAACCCCTCCTTGCAAGCATCAATGCCAACAGGTTCTCCCTCCGCCATGTTCCCGGTAAACCAGCCAACTGTTTTCAGCAGTGGTAGAAACACACGCATGGGAGGCCCAACCTCGTTTGTTGCCATGACACGACCATCATGATGGAAAATGCTGGTGTTCGCACTACTCACCCTCTTGATCGGCCGGGCAATTAAACCACAAATTGACGCAAAGATCAAGGCCATACTTCGCAATATTTCATATATGAGTCGTAGAGAAGACGATACCGGATTGGTTAACGCCTTAACGCTAGGCATTATGGGGTAGAGGCGGCGGTCTCGCATGGCTGCGCAATGTATATCTGTGAGGACATACTCATTGGTAAAGACGGGTTGCACATGGGCTGGTCCGGAGATGCGCTTGAAGTATACACCTGTGAGCATGCCGTCGCCATCAAACCAATGGAAGCCGCGCGGGTTGTCGCGCTGGATTGGGTTGGTGCCATTTCGGACATATTGGCCGCCCAGGAATTCCTCGGAAATGGTACCCTCGAAGTAACAGGGTTTGGAGGTAAGTCGGATGCTGATGGGGACGAAGTTTCCTGTTAGGTATCTGATTGACTATGTTTAGCTTACTGCAGGTCTGCCTAGAATTCGGAGAAGAGCATACGGATGTTTTCTTTCTGCTTTTGACATTGTGCTAGCATTGACTCCAGTTGGAAGAGAACTATGTCCATGAGATACGCCCAAAGACAAGGTCATCTTATATACATATCCTATGAAGCCTATCCATGTCTGAACCAAGGATTGAAGCCCGCATGCTAACCAAATATGCACTCGCGGTTTGTCCTATCAGGGTACAGAAGGCCATAGACCTAAACCGGTTTGCGAAGCTTCAGACAGGATATAGCAACCAGAGATAGGGCTTATCTGGATGTCACTGCTTTCCTTATGAAGCTAATACTTACGCTGTTACTACGACTGGGCACTTTACCAAACTTCCCGCGCAGATGACTGCCGATCACGGCGTGACATCAATCAACTGTGAGGCCTGAGCTAGGCGATGTACTCAATCAGGTACGAGTCACAGGTACAATGATCTAATGTGGATGATGTAGTTGAAGCATGACCACACTCCTGTCGGATACGAATCCGATTCATATTTGGCCTTTCGCCAGTACTGTGGTCCACCTCCATTATACTTTTTAGAAAGGCTCTGTTGCGTCACACGGTTAGTCTAGGTCGGGCTTATTGACAGCTAGAAACATGGCAATGGCGTTAACACCTCCCTACCATTAGTACCCTGGAACATTTGATGTGATCTCCCTGAAAGGAGATTAATATCAGCCAACTATCTCGTTCAAAACACTTCTCCGAAACGTGTGGAGCAGAAACGCCCCGCTCCAACCAGCAACCTACGCTGTTGAGCCACAGCTAGGCCTCTCATGATGGCCAATTCTTGCTTTTAAGATAGAGGTCTCTCGGAATCAAGAATATTCCAAACCAATAGCTATCTTATTCTTCGTAATGGGACGTCATACTGCCTATTGGTAGGAAGCAAGCAGTTTCACGCTGCTAGAGACGGGTTTTCATCGATTTTGCCGTGCACAGTCCGTGTCGACTGTGTGGGAATATGTATGCCGAGCCACACTAACAGCGATTCCGGCATACTGTCCTCGTGTTGGCCAAGTATATTCAGCAGGACGGTACCCAAGCAGTCAGTTGCCCACCGCTGTCTTAGCAAGATATTATCTAGTATCGTGTGTGCAATTGAATAATGCAGATGGGTCTGGGAACCCCCCTGACTTGGACAGTTTTAGGTAACATCCAACTTGTGCAGGTAACTGCAATCTGTCTGCAATCCCCTGATCAGCAAGGGAGCGGGGACTGAATCGCGTTATGGGCGACTCAGAGTCCAAAGGAGAGATTCTAGCGCCCCAGGCATCCACCGGGGGCCTGATCGAAGCCTGGCAGTGGGTCCCGTGCCTGCGGGCGGTGGACGTTTCTGCCCCCCGGAGCCTACGCTTTGCCGTTTCAGGAAGCTAGTTTGCGACTGCTAAACAAAGTTAAATACTCGATGGACTCTCCTCTGATGGAGAGATTATCTTTCAGAAAGCTCTATCTGGCACAGAAATTCTTCTATTATTGTCCCAGCCATATATTTTCAGTCTCCAATTGGCTTTTGTGTTGCTGCCGCTCAAATTCATAAACAGACTTATAGATATATATCACAACCATGGCGGCTACCTTTACCCTGCCATTACTGCCCGCAAAACATCGGGACCTGCCGAGCTGGATCCAGAGTCATCCAAACACTCCTCTCGAGCAGATTATCGCGCCATACAATGACTACGATGCGGTGGCACGCAAATTGTTTGCCCAAGAGGGCACCCACCCAGTCCTGCAGGATAACCACCTTAACATTGTGCCTCTCTACGACTCTAATGGCAGTTCGGACATCCGTGTACGGGCTCGAGACCTATCTTCGGAGCCCTCTATGGTTAAGGAACAGTATATCATGCCATTGAAGGAAGAAAATCGGCGTCCCAATGGCTCACCGGCAGTGGTGCCAACCTTAGACGAGTTCCGAAAGAACTTTAACGTCTTCTCCGAGGGTGCATTGAGCGACATGGACTGGAGCAATGTTGTGGTCGCAGGAAGCGCAGTAGTCACTTGCCTGCTCCCCGTTCCCGAAAAGTATCGGGATTCGAAGCGGTCATTGCGAGAGTACTATCATGAAAAGATTGCACCGGCCTCGGATGTGGATATGTTCCTTTACGGCTTAGACGAAGCGCAGGCAATTGAGAAAATCAAGCAGATTGAGGATAAGGTCAAGAACGCGATTCTTTACGAAACAACCACAGTGCGAACAAAAAACGCCATCACGATCGTTTCGCAATATCCCACCCGCCATGTGCAGATAGTGCTTCGCATATACAAATCCATCTCTGAGATATTGACTGGGTTTGATGTCGATTGTTCCTGTGCTGCTTTCGATGGGAAGCAAGTCTTTGTCTCCCCACGTGCTTTGGCTTCATATATCACCCAAATCAATACGATTGATTTGTCTAGGCGCTCGCCTTCTTATGAGAACCGCCTCTCAAAGTACTCTCATCGTGGCTTCGAAATCTACTGGCCACAGCTGGATAGGTCCCAAGTAGATCCGGTCAGTATTTCCCTCTTCTGTATCTCTTGGAACCAAGAGAGCTAATGCTGTCCATAGACGATCTTCGAGCGGAGCTTTAGTAGGACAGTGGGCCTGGCACGCCTCCTGGTGCTGGAGAGACTGCCAAAGTCGTCAGACCGAGAGTCTTATATAGAGCAGAGACGACGGGAACGTGGACGACCAGCCCCAAGGTCTAATAGGTGGAAGCAGTCCGGCAACATCAAGGATGACTGGGTAGATGAGATCCCCGACTGGGAAGAGGGAGAGGAGATTTCTGACTACCATACCTTTGTAAGCTTATGGAATCTTCATGCTCATATCAGAAGGCTAATTCCCGAGCAAGACGATTCCTTACGGCCCCAGATTCAAAGCCCGAAAAGTCGAGAAGCTTGTTTATACGAAGGACCTCTTGCTTAATGCAGAGTGGAACAAGCCCAAAGACAGAGAAGTTAACCTCCACCGACATCCGGCATTCTTTGGCAATGTTGTGGATGTCATCGGAGACTGCTGTGGCTGTTGTCCGGAGCCGGTCACTCCTGAAGAAAAAGAAATAGCCGAGAAAGAAAGCAGAATCTATATTTCTGGTGGGATCCCCTTCATCAGAGACAACCCAGGGCGTCAAGAGATTGGTAGCTTCAACCCGATTACAGAGACGGATTGGACTGGTTTGTGCACCCTTTCCCATTGTCAGAGACTGAGAATGCTGACTTTGCGGAAGAAATGGCTTATATCGGTAACACGGAGCGGCTGTGCCATGCGATTGTGGAATGCGACATCGAAGGCGTTAAAGCATGTCTCACAGAAGAAAAGATAAACCCTAACGATCGTGATCATACTGGCAGGACTCCATTGCAATTGGCTTGCTTGACCTCCACAAGCGACATCGTGCAATGCCTTGTCGATCATGGTGCAAGAATGATCTCCCGTCTGGCCGACGGCCGCACAGCCCTGCATTTGGCTGCTGCTCGAGGTGACCTGGAGATGGTCAGAGTACTCTTGCATAAGAGCAAGCAGAACGAGACAGAACAGGCTCGGCTCGAAAAGCAGCCGGATGAGGGTAGCGATGAGTGTCAGCAGGAGCCCGACACTAGTGAAAGCGAAAGCGTCAATTCTGAATCGTTCGTTCATGTCAGGAAAGAGTCTGATAAAATGGATGGCATGGATTTGGCCATGGCTGAAAACGAGCAAGAACCAGATATATATGACATCAATGTAGTCGCCTGGGATGTTCCCACATCAGCGCTTCATCTTGCCATTCTACATGGTCACATTGAGGTGGCTCAGGAGCTGGTTACCTCGTTTGGAGCTGATTTGGCGCTTCCGGTCAAGCTGCTCTACCCTTACCAACCTAGGGCGCGAGCGGCCATCTTGTGCCTTGTCCTGGCTCTTCGGCTGCCTATCGAAAAGTTAATTGCAATGACACAGAAGCTACTGCAGCTTGGGGCACTTCCAACACAGGCAGACATGAGCAGTGTAACTCCACTGCACTACGCCGTTGCTTGTGATTTCACCGATTCTTCTGAAATCCTCCAAACCTATTTCCATCAAAATCGTTCGGCAACAGTGAAAGCGATGAATTTCCTCTCCTCCTTTTCTAATCCCTGGAATGTCAAGCCTCATTCTACACTCACGTTAGCCCTTACTGTGAGAAATGACAAGGCTGCAAACAAGCTGATTGAAGCTGGCGCAACGCCTCAGATTGATTTTAAGTCATTTGTGAATCCCGGTCAGGCTATTTATGGAGCGATCAAAACAAACTCATCTGACAGAAACAAAGCTATCTTTCGGCATGACTTTACCCAACCTATCATCCTCGCAGTCCAGAAAGATCTACCGGTAATTGCTGACAGGCTGCTCCGCAGCGATGGCGTCGACCCAAATACTCTCACACCTGATGGGTATAGAGTACTGGACAGCGAGTATATGCGAAACTATACCGTGGGCAAGACTTTACTCGATTGTGTCCGAGATAAAATCAGAGCATTGGGCAACTACCACGGCGAGAAGTTGGGCATCTCTCCTCCTTGCCAACTAGTGAAACCTGATCACTGTCTGAACGGGCTACAGCCCGATACATACCATCGTTGGACTGTAGAAAGGGCAGTACGCCAAGCAAAGGCACAGTATGCAAAGGATCAAGAAAGGTATAATTTGGCAGTCTATGCGAATGATAGGCGCGAAGGTGTGAAAGAGAAGACCTTGGAAATTCGAGCTACTCTGGACGCTTATAAGGCATTGGAAAAGGTATTGGTGGAAAAGGGTGCAAAGTCTTTCTACGACATCTATCCAGGCTTTGAGAATCCCTGGAAGAAGAGAAAGACAGGAGACAAGAGCGACTCTGACTCCAAGCATCAAGAACCGGAGCCTTTCAAGGTCGAAACAAAATTCTGCGTACCAGACCTTACCGATGAAAAGAAGCAGAGATATTTTGACCTGTGAGTATTATATTCCACAGGAAAGCCCATGGAAACCGCTTCTAGGTCACTAACTTTAAGCAGTTTCGAGGCTTCTTGGCGCGGCGACCTTGATA